ATTGAATATTCTTGACTAATGTAACGTTTGTTGTGTATGATTTAGGCAATAATGTTATGTAAACATATTGACTGTGTTTTGCAATGTTTTAAATTGCAATCTTACGGTTAAATATGTGTGAAATGAGCGATATTTGAGACATGTATACAACATATGTACACAAATTGTAAACACTTATTGATTGCATCACTCATCCATTGGATTGCAATTGATATACAGTACTGTAAATGCCTTTAAACTACAGCTCATTGCAAATAAACAACAATTGAATGAGTGATGAAAACACATGAGTTTTGTTTTGCAAAACTGTTTCAACAAAATAACTCACATTTGGTTACAATTTACTATAGTTTTAAACACTTGTTTTCAATCAATTATAGTGAAAGTTATGTTTAAATATAGTCTATAAAGTTGATTGTGTTTTGAAAGTCAAATGTTTGCATAAAATGGTCTCATTTATAGCACCCATTGCTTACGGATTCATAACATTTGCCATTATTTGGATTTATATGAATCAGCAGAGGATTAACACCACAAACACCAGTGAATCGCTTATTAAGACATGGATTACAGACAATGGTTTGAATGTAAAGACAACCCGCAAACTATTGGATCAATTGGGTATGCATTTGATGACTTGAATGGATGATTATCACCCATTATATGAGCGATTATTGTAAACACATTAATAATTATTAATATCTAATTGTCTTAAGATCTAAATGTATGGCAACTCATGAATAGACCATTAGTTATGTGTTTGAGTCAACTCACTGTACATTATGTTTAAGCCATAGAAAAGTTATGATCAATTTATATAATGAATAATTCATTGTTTTATAACTAAAATAGCTTTTAATTTAATAATAGTCGTGTAAACAAAGGGTAATTTATTTGCGATTTTAATGTAATAAGTTGTTTGAGTTGTGAACATAATTTTTAGTTACAAAACGGAGTTTTATTGAACTTTAACTTAAGATTAATGAACTGAATGTTAATTAATGGCAATCTTGTTGTCTAAGTTTGCCTTTGATTTTAGGCTTTTGTTTGAATCTTTCATATCTTATGATTAAAGCAAATATTTTATAAATAAATTGAGACCTTATTATCACTCGTATGGTATTGACAGTTATGATAAGTGATACATGACTTGTGTTTTATAACTTCATAATATTTACTATTTTTGTATTTTTCACTTTTAAACACATTTTGTTCAAAATAAAGGGTTCATAAAAAGAGAGTGATTTTCAGAATTTATTTGACATTTAGTAAGCATTTGATAGCAATTAAAGTTGTTTCTCATGAAAAGTCTTTCAGTTTTATTCATGATTTTAATATATGATTATATCTCCTGAAGGGTGCAATACTATCACCAATTGTGTGGATCTAATAATCACCACATTTGGCCATCACTTGCAAGACACAGACAGTGATGTTCACTCACAACCACTTCACACTCTCATTGCGTTAGCCGTTCACTACAAGAATCACCAGATTCTGCACAAATGGCTTCACAACCATCGCATCCCTAATGATTACATCCATATGTAAGTCACAATGTATTGCATTCTCTATATTCTCTACAATAGATACACTATTTTTTATCATTAATCATACTGTACTGTATTGTATGCCATTGAATGGCTTTATTGAATTATCTGTGAACTCAATTCTCGCTAATTTTCCATAGTGTTTTACGAGATTAGTTTTGCAATGAAGTAATTATTCTTTGTTTTCTAATTATCATTAGAATAAGATTTAATTAAGAATCATTTTATTTAATTAATTTTTTTAATCTGCAGTCTTATTGAGTCAATGAAATTAAATATTGATTAGAAGCATCCTATTTTAAAAGTCAATTTTTTATGAGATAACGGCTAACTGAACCTGGATTTCCACTATATTTAATGAATAATACTTTGATTTTTAATTCACTATTAATTGTTTGGGTAAAAGGTTTTTTTTATTGATTGCCATAAATGATATCAAATTATATTAACATAAATATTTATATAAAATAATTGAAATCAGGTTTATATTGTACGCCTTGAGAGGAAATAAATTGGTCTGATATTTGTTGTGTGAATGTAAAAGTGTTGTCCAGAAAGTGATCATAAAAACAGTGATTTCCATATCAACGCATATTTGGGTATTTGGTTGACATCCCGTCAACCGTCAGGCGCTCACTCTCTCCCCATATTTCGACCCAAATGTACGATAAGAATACATAATATTCTGCATTCAATTCAATGCTTATATAAAACATAAATATTTGGTTTGATATAAACAATGAAACACAAACTCTGTGTTTGTTTTGTGCTCTTATGTTATAATAAATGTCTTAATCTTGAATTATTATTCAATTACATTACATTAACAATAATACAATATGAATTTAGTACGTTACTTGATTGGCGGAATCTGATATTTATAGCAAAGCATTTTTATTCATTGTAAAAGTTGTGTTATTAATAAAATAAGTTTTGATCGATATTTCAGTGCAAAAGTATGTTATTATTCTTGTCTTTTAGACATTTGAAAACTTCTCCTAAAACTGTCTCTACATCTGTAGTGACCCTTATTTTCACTCCAATTATTCCAGTCTCACGCATCTCTCTCTCTCTCTCTCTCTCACTCTCTCTCGCTCTCGTCAGTGAGAGAGTCAATCGAAAGGCAATTCAATTGAATCTCATTTATATAATTATAATTATATCCAGTTTCCAATTCATGTGAGAATTATATAATGCGTTCATTTGAGTCACAAATTCAAAATCGATATGTGAAATTGTTTTTATCGCTGAAAAAAGTTTATTGAATGCGAGAATTGATATGAATTTAATTTGAATGACTTATTACTTAATACTTAATTCAATAGACATATAGTTTAGTGCTCTCGATATGTATCGCATCTAAAATACGTTTCCTCTTAATGTCTATAGCATTGAAAATAAATATAACTCAAAGTCATTGCAAGAGTTGTCGGCTCTGTATTGGATTCAACGAAACCATGATTTGATTGAAGAAATTAACGCCAATCTCGTCCTCAAGACTGCTTTGGACTCTTTGCCCGACGATTCCCATCAATTAGAGTCTCTGTGCGAAGACATTTGGATTGATATCAATACCATCGATAGGAAGCCATGGAATTGGGGTTTGTTTTAATGCTATCAATCATTGTCTCATTTATTTCTATTTAATTATTCAATGTTTGTATCATTCACTGTAAGTTTAAGTCTATTTCCTACACTAATCAATACATGCATTACAAGAATGAATGCGCGAAACACTCTTTTTATGACTTTCTTTTTGCTTTTTTTCATTTCCAATAAATGAAACTAATTTTGAAATTCATTAAATATTTATTTACTTTATTATTTGATTATATTAATTGTATATTTACATAACTTTTCTAATTAATAACTTCAGTTATGTGTTATTCCTTATTCTGTAGTTTAACAGCTATAATAATACTTATAAATGTGATTAACATTATATTTATTTATATATTTGTCTCAAAAAACAGTTATTCTTAAGAAATATTGATCTGAAGTAATGTGCATTTATTTGCAGTTCAAATGTTTATAACATCGTTAGTGATAGCAATTACCATATCATTCGTAACAATGATAACCAATAGTCAGAAATCAGGATTCCTGTCGTACGTCACCGGAAATTATTTAGCGCCACAAAACTCAAGAGTAAAGTTTGAGTGGACGGACCCCGCGGTTGTCGGCAATACTATGACTTTTGTTGTAAAAGTAAGAATCTCTATGTTTTGGTTATTTTAAAATTAATTGTATTTTGATTGTAAAGTTCTTCCAACGGAATGGTCGCCCGTATCCCATATCTAGTGAAGACAATCTGAAAGT